GATTACTTACAGCTTGCACATAAATCTATTTAAAACTCTCTATTGAATCGTACTGTGGATCTTAGCATCTTTCCGGCGAATCTCATTGACTTCCTATTGTAGCGGCCACACTTCGCTGGAAGGGGCAAGAGATCATGCATACGCCAATGGGCTACATCTCTTATGCAAGGTCGCTGCATGAAAAAAAAAACATTTCTTGTATTGCGAAATGCACGAAACAAAGAAGTTGAAAAGCTAACGTGATTCATATTCCAATGAATCATATCACCGAATGAATCACTCGATTTACATATAAAATTCGTCTGTATATAATTATACACTTTCTTTATTAGCCAATAGAATTATTGGAAAATCTTTTCTAGAAATTCAAGTGTTTTATTTATCTTAAAAAATCTAATTTTTATTTAAAAATTTTAAGTATTATTAAAGTTATTAAAGAAAAACAATCTTTATAATATAAAGTGTAATAATTTCGAGTTAAAATGAATTTTTTTAGAAAAAAAAAACTGAGTATTATAAATATTTCTTTTTTATTATTATTCTAGATGTTTTTTATTTTCCCAAAAATAATGATTAATTATTAAAATAAGAAGGTTAAAAATGATTGATCTTAGTGTATTTTCAAGTGATCCATTCAATGATATGATCCACTTGTATATGAACCACGTTATCTGAGTGCGAAAATAAGAGCGACACAAATGAACTTGAGGATCAACGTTCACACAGTCGTATCTGGGAGAAATTCCCCACATGGTGGCAATATTTGTTATCCCAACGAAGCACCAATTAAAAAAGACGTACCGTTGTGAATTGCACACAAGCTTGCTTTTTCTGGGAGATAGAATTATCGTTAACAAAAACGGATGATGGCAGCATCCGACATCCGAATGAAGGGTCCAAGAAGATGTATCGTTGGTGCGATGTGCGTTGAATGAGACGTTCTCCTCTTTGGAAAATGAAACGATGTCCCCTTGCCAGATTACGAGTTCTAACGTGTATCAATGTTCGGCATACAGGACCTCCATGGTATACTGAAAAGGATGCTAGCTGCTCATGTCCTTCTCGACTCGATCGAAATTGTTTTGATGATTGTCAAATGGAGAGATTGAATAATTCCTCACCTCTTAGCTGTACCGAAGTAATCGGAGCATTTTTATTGCCCTTGAGATCGGTATAGTCAAAACTCTCCATAACAATATTTTGGTGGTCCCCAATTTTTTTGTGCCTAAAAATGACACACATCTTTAGAACTTCTTTATTATAATATGCTTATATTTTAGGGCCTTTGAAGTCCCAGGATCACACTAGGATATGACTATGACATGATAAATATAATGAAGTTGTAGTCTGTTTTCCTTACAGTGAAAAGAAAAATGTAATAGAAATGTAGCCCGAACGGGACTGATCAGAACCAAATTACTACCAAGCTGGTATTAATCCAGTACCTTCATACAAAAATAGTTGTTCATTATATCCTTAAAAAAGACTTCAAAAACCGGTATTCTTCTAGAGAGATTTTGTTGTATAGAAAAACTTAGCTATGTCGGACTGAGATTTTAAACTAATTAAATCTAATATAAAGAAGATTCTAGTATAAAAATAATAAGATAATAAGATATTAATATTTTATGACTTAAAAGTATTGATTTTATTCTATATTAAAGTAGTTTAATATAAAATTCTATATCTTTCTTCAATTAGATTTAAACTTTATTTCATACTCTCTTTTATATAGATTCTTAATTAGATTTATATTAGGAATACTTTATGATTTTTAATATTTAAGTAGAATTTGAATAACTTTAAGAGCTTGAAAATAACTAATAGAAGGCTCTATTTTTTTTTGTTTTTCATTCTTTTTAAATTTTTTAATTAACTCCTTAGCTTTAACAATATTATTAATTAAAGTTTTAAGATTGTTATTATTCTTAATAATATATTTTGAATAAGATAAAACATATTCTTGTATATTTGATATACTAGCTATAATGCCTTGATATTTTAAATGTACTAAAGTAAGATATAAGGATTTTAAAGTTTCTTTAAAACCTTATTATATTATTAGTAGTATTATAGGTTGTAATTTTAGACTAATATATTATAATTTATTCTAGTAATTTAAAATGATATTAATTTTGATATATTTTTAAACTTATATCCTTTATTGAATTACTAATAGAATATCGAGTTCTTTAAAATAATTTTAATCACTATCAAAGTATAAACTATATATCGAAACGTATGATTACGTGATTAAGCGAATTACATGATTCTTCTCTTCCTTATAAGGAAGAGAAGAATTATACCTATATATAGATCATCTCAATTATATTTATTCATTTTCTATAGACTTTTATAGTGCTTTATCTAATAATATAGATTTTAATTCCTCTCCTTAAGTAATTCAAAGGTGGGAAGAGATGAATCCCTCTCTCTCTGCTAATTATAAAGAATGGTCTCCCAAGTACAACACAAAGGAGCCGAAGGAACTAACTCTGCCAAGAGCAGTCCTTCACCGACTACTAGCTATGAAAACAGGTCATGGCGACTACGCCGCTTACCATCAGCGATTTGGTCATCAAAACAACAAGCTGGACTGCTCATGCGGCAGCGCTAAGGAACCATATCACTTCTTTAAATGCACTATAAACAACCTAAAACGTTCAGACTGGCCCCTGGCCCCTGTAGAAATACAATCTAACAAACAGGCGATCACATATATCAAGAAACTCTTACACACACCTAGCAAGCTCACTCAGCTGATTACCGACTCAGAGTTCTACACTCAGATCTGTCCTAACTACTAAAGGACCCTTAGAAAGCGACCATCTTTTCAACAAAGCCCGCCGCCCCTTTTATAAACTTACCACTCAACTGATCACTCGAATATACCACACCCCTAAAAACCGCAAACCCAATATACAATATAAGAGCCTTGCCGCTCGGCTAAACAAATAGCAACCCACTCCCACTTCTTCTCCTTCACCATAGGGATCGGAGCCCACAACGAGCCTATCCACCCGGGAACCAAGCTCTACCCTAACAAGAACCCGGATCAGACGTACCCTTCTGGAAACAGAAGTGGATCGCACCTGCAGAGGAGCGAACAGCCCCTGGCATTGAAGTTAAATTGCTAAATTCGGTTGCGACGATCACGCCGCTCAAATAGTCCCTTATCTTAGCACGTCTAAATACCCTTAGGGAGGTTCAAGACAGACGTTAATTAATATAAATAAATAAATAAAAAATTAAGTAATTCAAATACTATAAATCTAATAGATTATTATTACAAATAAAGCTTTTAATTTTGTATAATATCTTAATTAAACAATTAATATTTAGATGTAAGATTCAAAGATAATTGTATAATTTTTGTATTATATAATTTATTAACTTTAATTAAAATAGTAATAGTTAACTCGTATATAAAAAAGTTATTTATAATAAGTAAAACTTCTTTATACATCTACCTTATAATATTATTGAATTATATAAGATATTCATCGAATATATTATTAATTATTTAGGATTTTGAATTCGATTAACATTTCACCCCTAAACCATCGAGAATTATTAATCCTACTCTTCTAAATACTTATAGTATATATACTTTCCTAATAATCTATAATAGAAGCTTATAAATATCTATGAAATTATTAATAAGAAATACTATTAATGAAGCTTTTTCCTCTTTCCTATTAGTAAATTTGAATATAAAAAGTATACAATCTAGTCTTTTTTTTAAAAAAAAAAAGTTTTGTTTTATTATGATTATAAATATCATTTATATTATATAAAACTATAATACATTATATCTCTTTTATTATAGCCTCTAATTTAAGGCCTATATCTATGAAAACTCCTTTATTAAATCGATAACTTTTTTATATAAAATCATATTTTTTGAAATTATTAATAAAGCTAGTTGATTAAGTCTTTTCCTTATTAAATAGTAGAAGTTTATTTTTATATTCAAAAAGTTCTCATTAGAATTCTATAACTTTAAGATATAAAACATTAATTATAATAGGTTCTACATTAGAATAATAATCATATTAAATCTATCATTCAAATAAAACTTTTTCGAAAACAAAATAAGTAAAAAAGCAAGTTTTAAATTAACTTGATTTGTATTTTATAAATTTTAATATATCAAATTATTTAAATTTCTTACTTAAAAGATTATTGAAAGTTGATTTCTTTAATTCATACTATATTAAGCTTTATATTATATTATTACATTATTATACTCTCTTTTTATATATTTAAAATCCTATTATTATACTCTTAAAGCTCTTTTTATTGATTTATTAAATTAATTTAAGAATTATAATAATCAACTTTTTTTTAGCTTTTCTAATAACAATAATAACAATAATGATAATAATGTTATATTTAAAGATTTATTTCTTTTCACATATAGTATATTAACTAATAATAAAGGTTTATACTAGAATTTAATTAATTTAGGTTGATATATTAATTTTCATTAGAATTCCAATATTCCCATATAAATTTATGAAAAAAAGAAAAAAAAAGTCTGGTATATTCAAGTTTCCGGTTTATCCCAGTCCGGTATAGTCAAGTTTTCCTATAGCTGTCAATGAGATTGTCGAAAAGAGGGGTTGTTGTCTAAAAGTGGAACATTAGACGTAAGGTTTTCTTGGCGAGCTGGGAATCGGCTCGGAACGTAATTCTTATGCTACGCCGGGGCTCGTCTGTGCGATTATGCAAGGGTCGAAAGAGAAACATGCGCATCCGTGGGGTCGTGGGGAGAGATTCGACTCAAGGTTTGCTTGGAGCCGGCTCGAAAAGTTTTTTAAATTCAACAATTCCTGTGTATGCCGGGGCCAGCCTGTGTGAGTGTGCAAGGATCGAAGGAGAAACATGCATAATCGTTTCGTTTCGTCAATATATAAGTAGTTATACTGTTCCCTAACCCTAAAATCATATACGCGACACATTATTTTCGAGAACTTATGCATTCTTTTCTACGAAACATGACTTTCACCCTCCCGGCAACTTTGCCACAACGACTCATTAAGCTGGATGCATCATCTTTGATCATTTTTATTCCGGCCGCTGTCAGTACTCCACAATCATTGGCAGACTCCAGCGAAATTGGCTAACCCTGTGCTAGCTTTTCTTCTACTCCATTGCGCTTGCAATTTACCGCATATGGTTTCATCCTCTGTCTAAAATCCCTGGGCCGCCACTCCTCGCAACGATCGACATCATCAACCAGTACCATCTATCATTCCTCTAGAAAGATTCACTAGAACGAAGGCTAATCGATATATCAGATGGGGCAGTAATGTCGATGGAACCTTTCCCCGTGAGGTGTCTCGGCTGCACAAGCAATTTGGACCAATAATTCGCGTCGGACCCAACCGCATTGCCGTCGACGGCAGTATCGGCTATCCTGAGGTGTATAGCCTCAAAGCTAAAGGTCTGGCTGGGACTTTCGACAAGGTCCATGATTACATTTTCGACGGTGACCATAAGACAATACTCGGGGCTCCAAATGAATTACAGTAAGTGGCTTTCTCCTCTGAATCTGACAACAATCTTGAATTCAAAGAGCAATGTAGTCCTTCTTCAAGTTCGATGGAAACTTCAACAGAGCTGTGTTTCATACTTACTGTACGATAGCCGCCGGTTGAGGCGATCTCTAGCCCACTCATTCAGCGACGCAGCGATCCGTGAACAAGAAGGCATCATCGAGAAGCATGTTAACATGTTATTGGAACAGTTGACATGCAAAGCCGAGCTTGGCGAGACTGTAGATACTGTGAAATGGTACGTATCGATTCGTCCCTGACTTTCCAACGTACATTGTTCATACAAAAATTGACCTCTTGCAATTGCAAACTTTTCTCTACAAACATTCTCTTGAAATAGTCCTGACCAATCATTTTCTGACTCGCCCGTAACTTAGGATGAATTATTTATTCTTTGATATCATCGGCGAGCTTACATTCGCAAAGACTTTCAACTCAATTGAGACCGGTGAAGACCATCCTTTCATCAGTAATTTTTTTGAAGTTATTTTGGGAAACTCTCACACCCGCTTTCTAACGTCATATCCCTATCTTTCCATTCCTTTCAGTATGATAATGGGTCGCAAGCAGATTGTAAGAGCGATGAATAAAAACAGTGAAAATGCAGTATGGGCCCAAGAATTAACAAAAAAGCGTATTGAAATGGGTGAAGAGCCAAAGACAGGCCAACACGACTTCATGTCTCACATGTATGTATGGCCTGACATATTTGCCCAGATATGGCGCTAACACCTATTCCAGGCTAAAGAAGAATCGAGAGGGCGAGCAAGCAATGCCGAACGAAGATATTTTGCTGCACTCGCTGATTTTAGTCGGCGCGGGAAGTGAGACGACTGCATCTGCCATGTCTTTCTTTTTCTACGTCACCGGTATGAATACTGCTCAAAAGCAAATTCTGCAAGATGAGATCCGCAGCACCTTTACTGACGAGTCGGAAATCAACATGGTAAATTGTGGCCAGATCAGTTACCTACAGGCGTGTATACAGGAGACTCTGCGAATGTATCCTCCAGCGGCCGAGACGCCACCGCGTGTGTCGCCTGGCGCAAACATTGGCGGTGAGTTTATACCATCAGGGGTAGGTTATCATCCTTTACTATATGCGTCTTTTATTAGCTGTCTTTTTTATTAAGCTCTCTCGCAGACAATCATTCATGTCTACCCTTGGGCAACATTCCGCAACCCAAATAACTTCACAGACCCGGACTCATTCAGACCCGAACGCTGGCTCCTCCCTACACATCCACGCTACGATACACGCTATGCAAAAGTAAGTAACCTTAAGACTATCGGAACTTTTTCCTACTTATAACAACTCAAGAGTTGGGTATCTGCGACATATTAAAACAATCATAATTTCTCAAAGCAATACTGACTCCAATATCTGCACTTTAGGATAACCTGGCCTGTGTCAAGCCCTTCAGCCATGGACCCCGCGACTGTCTAGGGAAGAATCTAGCCTATAACGAGATGCGCTTACTCATATCCCGACTCCTATTCCGTTTAGATTATGAATTACTTGAAGGGCAGGAGAAATGGCATAATAACCAGCGGGCTTACCTGATCTGGGTCAAAAATCCGCTAAAGGTGAGATTCACTGTTCGAAAGAATTGAATTCGTCTTTTCAGGGCATTGGATGAATGTCACTTTGGGGGATATTGTGCTTGGAAATGATGTTGTTCAGAAAATTTCCGGTGACTGGTCGAAGGATTGTACATTTGAGTAAAAAAAATTAGTATAGGTATTGAATATGAAAGGCGTACGGAACGTTTTAATTGTGATTAATTCTTCCTGTTTTTTTTATTACATTTTAAGTACTATATTATATAATGGAGTTTCCTTGAATTATTGATGAATATAAATACTTTCAAACTCATCGGATAGAAATATACTTTCTGTCTCTTAAATAAAAAATTGAAAGAAAGATCAGATTGTTACAATGTCATATGATACAGTTTTTCTCATTCATAACTTTTTGATGAGTATTCAAATCAAATACGATTGTTTGTAGAACTAGTTCAGAAGACGCCGCCCGAAAGCTCTACAATTCAAGTTTTCCATCCGGCCCCTCTTGTAATGCTTATATCTTCCAATGACGATTCCTACTTTTGCGATGCGATGGATATGAAGTCGACTTCTCAATTTACGGAACTCTAATTTCTTCTTCTTCTTCCTCTCGTATGGTCTAAAGTGGCGTGACCCTGTGATAGCAAATTAACATTTCGAACGAAAAGAAATTCAATATAAATCCATGTACAAATTACTACTTTATATATTATAATTTTTTTTTTGGTTAAGAACGAAATATCTAGTATTTATTTATTATTGAATTTTAATAGAAGAAAAGAAAATAAAGGCTATGAAAGATCTCTCTATTCTTATATTTTACAATCGAAAAATAGATAAAAAGGTATAAGAATAGAAGTTGAAAAAAAGATTAAGAAGATAGATATCAGGGGTCTGCGAGCCTCCGGACCCCTTACTTTTTAAGAAAGTGTAATATAATAATTTCTATCATTATCGTTCTTAATAAATATTAATTCAGTCACTTAAAATTATTAAATTATTAAGAGGACTAATAATAATAATAATAAAAATCCATTATAATTATAAAGAAATAAAAATTCGATATTTTAAGAAAAATTCATAAATTCTTTATAAGGAAGAATATCATTATAATTTTAAATAAAGAATTCTTTATTAAAAAAGAAATCCGTTAGTATTTCTTTATTCAAAGTTATAATTCATTATTTTGAAAAACTTAAAATACTATATGAAAGCTAATCTAAATGTAAAATAATAGACATAATAATGAATTTTCTTTATTAAAAATTAATTAAAAATTAATAAAGAAAGTGATTTCATATTAAATTTATAACGTATGCCACCTACATATTACAGGCTGTACAGGGGGTTAGAAAAAGTATAAATATGTAACTTAGACCTTTAAAGAAAGATCTTATTCTAGTACTCGATTTTATAAATTTATTAAGTAATTAATTAATATACGAATTAAATCGAGATTCTATTTATATATTCTAGTAATTCTATTTATATATTCTATAAGTCTAAGCTTCTTATATAGGCTGCGTACAAATTATTTATACCTATGGATTATCTGTAGATAATTCGCTTTGTAGGTTATTCGTTAGAGGTTTTACCCGCTTTACGGATTATTTGTTGAGGCTTTAAAATTACCCGCTTTGTATAGATAATTCACAGATTATCTGTAGATAATTTACTTATTTATAGATAAATAAATTATCTATAGATATATGAATTATTTATAAATAATTTATAGATTATATAAATATATTTACTTTTTTCGTTTAAAATATAAAACTATTGCTAAATTATTTTCCAACCTAAAAGTGATTTTATACTAATTTTTATATTAATCATAAAATTATATTAATATTATAAAAGATTATAAATAATTATATAATATATAAGTAAATAAATATCTATAAGTAATTTGTATTTGTCCTGTAGGTTACTCATTCAGATTTTTGAATTATTCGCTCTATAGACGGATTATCCGCGGATTATCTGTCGAGGTTATTATCCGCCCCGCGGGTACTCGTTGCGCAGCCTATTCTTATATATAGTAGAACTTGACTATATCGGATTAGAATATATTAGAAACTTAAATATACTGAATTTTTTTCGTGGTTTTTTCGAGATTTATATAGGAATATTAGAATTTCAATGAAAATTAAAATATTAAATTAAAATAATTAAATTTCAGTATAAACTTTTATTATTAATTAATATATTATATACTAGAAGAAATAAATCTTCGAATATAACATTATTATTATCATTATTGTTATTGAAATAGTTGAAAAAAGCTAATTATTATAATCCTCGAATTAATTTAATAAATTAATAGAAGAGAGCTTTAAGAGTATAGTGAAAGAATTTTAAATATAAGAATAGAAAGTATAATAATATAATAAATAATATAAAGTTAAAGAAATCAATTATTAATAATCTTTTGAATAAGAAATTCAAATAATTTAATATAATAGAGTTTTCAAAATATAAATTAATTTAATTTAAAACTCGACTTTTTGTTTATTTTATTCTTGAAGAAGCTCTATTTAAATAATATATTTGATATAATTATTATTTTAATATAAAACCTATTATAAATAATATTCTACATTTTAAAATGTTAGAATTTTAAAAAAAGCTTTTTAAATATAAAATAAAATCTTTATTATTTAATCAAAGAAAGACTTTATTAATTAATTTTATTAATAACTTTAAGAAATATAATCTTATATAAAAAAGATATTAATTCGATAAGAATACTTTTATAAAAATGAGTCCTAAAATAAATATTATAATGAAAGAGATATAATATATTATAGCTTTATATAATATAAATGATATTTATAATTATAACGGAATAAATCTTTTTAAAAGAAATAAACTAAATTGTATACTTTCTATATTCGAATTTATTAATAAAAAAAAGCTTGATTTATAATATTTCTTATTAGTAACTTTATAGGTATTTATAAGCTTCCCTTATAAATTATTAGAAAAGTATATATTCTAACATGATTTATCATCGAATAAACTATATCATCGAGTGGACCACTTTCACCTTAATAAACATAATTAACTTTAATATACAATTTATCAATCATTTATTATACAATCTAATAATAAAGAAGTATACTTGCTTTTAGTTATTAAAGCTCTCAAAAACAATAAAAAACTAAATCTTCAAAAGACCTCCTAATTATATAATATTCCTTGTACAACCTTTATTTATAAAATGAATAATTTAACTCTACATTTTAAAACTTAAATGAATCAATATAAACTTATAGAATTAAAAGAAAAGGTTATTATTTAATATATTCTTAATATAAATTCAAAAGGTTTTCTATTTAAATTCAAGGGAATAGAAAATATAGCGAATTATATTCTTGAATTGAAAAGTATAAAATATATTAAGAAACTTTAGGCATATTAATTTGTAAAGTATTAAATTAAATTAAAAACATATTTTAATTGTGTTTATAACTTTCAAAAGGCTTTTTATAAAAATCTTAAGCTTATTAAAAACTAATTTCAATTGATTATAAATATATAAGCGAAATTCAATATTTTGAATAGCAATTTCTATAACTTTAATAAAACAGACTTTATAATAGGTATAATATATTTTGAAATGATTATAATTAATACTAAAAGATGTGATAGAAGTAAATCAATACAATTAGGCAATCAAGAATGAGCTATAGTAATAATATATGAAATTAAGGAGGGTAAAGCTATTCCCTTATTTCTAGTGGTTCAGGGACAGGTTTATCTTTTTAATTGGTATATCGAAATCGATCTTCTTATAGAATAAACTATTAAATCTATATTTAATGAATAGATAAACAATGAGATGGATTTAAAATAATTGAAACACTTTGATAAGTATACTAAGAATCGAAGAAAGGGCAAATATCGAATGTTGATACTAGATAGATATAAAAGTTATAAATTAATAGCTTTTCAAATATATTATAAAGAGAATAATATTATATATTTAAGTTTTTATCACATTTAAGTTATTTAATTCAATCATTTAATATTAACTGTTTTAACAATCTAAAATGTTTATATAATAATCAAATTGATGGATTTATTAAAGCATATATTAATTATATTTTGAAGGTTGAATTCTCTATAGCTTTTAAAGTTATATATAAAGAATCAATTATTTTTTAGATTATAAAATCAAAATTTCGAGGAACAAATTTAATATCTTTTAATCCTAAAGCTATACTTTCGAAATGGAATATTTAAATTCACATACCTATTTCCCCCTTTTTTAATGAAGATTTATAAATCTCTCAAACCCCTTATAATCCATCTAAAGCTCTTTTATAATCAACTTTAATAAAATCTCGAATAACTTATTATCAATTAAGTTCTCTTATATCTATATTCGAAATTATATTAACTTTAATTAAGAATATAAAAAGATTAATTTATAAAAATATACTTTTGAATATAGAGATTTATATACTTCAAATAGTGAATAAGATATTAAGCAAATATCGACATACAAAAAACTCAATTATATTAAAAAAAATACTTACTAAATAAAAAACTCTTAATATATTATCTCAACAAAAGATTAATATTCAAATTCAACACAATGAACATCAAAAAGAAAGAAATTCTAATAAAGAAACATTTTCTAATCGATACTATAATAAGTATGAAAAAATTAAGCATAATATAAGAACTTATCAAAATGATTTAATAAATCCTAGATTATTAAAATCTTTATAATTTCAATTAATTGATTTAATTATTATTAAATAATATAAATTTAAAAGTATAAATTGAAATAAAAGTAATCCATTTGATAATATAGTCCACTCGATAATAAATCACATTATAGGTATTTAAAAGAATAAAATTAATCATTCTTAATAATTTAGAAATGAGATATTAATTAAATTTAAGGTTTTAAATAAATAATAATATATTTATTGAATATTTTATATAATTTGATGATATTATAAAATAACAGAATAAGAAAGTATTACTTATTATAAATAACTCTTCAATATATAAACTAGTTACGAATATTCTAA